TTGATTCCAATGGAACCTTTTCTGGAACATAAAATTTTTTGGGATTTTTTTTTTTTAAAAATTCTGTAAATAAAAAAAAAAAAAAAAAAATCTTACCGAAGTTTTATCGATACATCGGTTGATAATGTTTGCCATTGCATATAAGCAGGCATATCAACACTACGACGAAGACTATCGACAAGAAAACCATTTGCACTGGAATTTCCACCACCACCACCCGTACCACCACGTCCAGGACTACCATAGGATAAACGTGGTTCACCATTTGATGATGTTGAATTATTACGATTTGAATAACGAACACTACCACCACCAACACTAACACCTTCCTGTTCCTGTAGACGATGTAATGAATCCATTATGTTTTTTTGTTTGTTTGCTTCTTGGTTGATAAATTAGAAAATTTGTTGTTGAAAAAAAATCCGAAAAAAACAAAACAGAATTTTCAACGAAATTGAATTCAGAATCAGTCAAAAATTTTTTAAAAAAATCATCAAACGAAAACAAAAATTGAATTTAGCCACTGAATGATCATTGAACAACAAACAACAACAACTCTAATCACAAAATGAAAATGATGAAGACAAAAAAAAAATCAAGTCATCAACATCGATTTTCATTCAATCAATCAAATCAATAATCAACCAACTAACTAACCAAATCGAAAAAAAATGCACCAAAATTAAAAAAAAACTACTCCTGAATTTGAAGATTATGTTGATCAATGATGAACTTTTACTACCACTACTATTGAAATATATTTGTATCAAAATAATAATGATGTCTGATGATTGATTGAAAAAAATGGATTTTAATCATCATCATCAATAAATTTTTTAATCAACAACAACATTATCAGGCAATTAAATTGTGGTGTATATGGATGGTCTTCGAATTGGTAGCATTGATTTTCTCTGATTAAGATTTTCTGATTTGAATTTCATCACGTTTCTTCTTCTTCACTTACTTACTTACTAACTTGGTTTCATCGACATTTTTTCGTTCGGTTCATTTAGGCTTGTGACTTGTTGATTAGGTAAAATCAATGGAGTCATATCGCCAACAACCAAAGAAAGAAAAAAAAACAATATTATTTTTGGAACCCAATATATAAGGAAAACAAACTATAAATAAAGAGATGAGTTTTGGGTTTGTTTGTTTTTTGTTTTGTATCATCCCAATTGATATTTTTCCACTTTCTTACTTATCAAATGCGAAAAATATATATATAACGAAGATAAGCGAAAGCGAAAAAAAAATCCCAAGATTTTTTTTTTAGATTTGATCTTGAAAATGAAAAAAATCACATTTTTTCTGGGTTTGGAAAGCAAGATATCAATGAGTGATAATATTCTTTCCATTTCTTTTTCTTTTTCTACAGAAAAAAATATTGATAATTTTCCAAATCAAATTTGGTAATTTGAATCCTTTGATTTTTGATTTTCTGATTGATTTGATTATATCTCGTTCAATTGCAATCATTAATCAACCCAAAAACAAACGAAAAAATGTACAAGTAGAAAAAATTGAAACAAAACGAAATCTTTCTTGAAATTTCAAATCTTTTTTTTCCCTTGCAAATGATGTACTTCGGAAGTTTTGATTATGATGATAATTTGGATTCAGTTTGCCTTGTCTTGTCTGAATGAGGTCATTGGTTTTGTTTCAAACCAAAAACAACAAAAACAAAAAACAAATTTTCCAGATTAATCGATTTTATCCATTACCCAAAAAACGTTTATCCAAAACGAAATTTTTCAAATTTTCTTTTTTTCGCTTTGTTTTGTTCAATGATGATAATTTATGATTGACCTTCACTGGATAAATCATTTTGGACATCCTACCATATGGCAGACGTTTTTTGTTTTGAAGCTGTGAAGATTTGACCGATCAATAGGTGGTGGCGGTGAAGATTATTATTATTGCCAAACAACACCTGTGTGTGTACAACACCTGTATGACCGCACTGCTAAAAATGACCAGGTTCGATTCAATCACCTAGAGGTGAAACTGTCAAATTTTTTTTTTTTGACCATCATAATTTGATTATAACAGAGTAGGTCATTTTTTGGTTTTTTGTTTGAGAAAAACGATTTGGATTTGCTTGAATAACGACGCTAAACGCTTTGATTTTTGAGTTTTTCTTGACAAATTGGACTTATTTTGTGTGTGTAAGTGAATCATCCATCAATCAATCAAATAAAAAGAGATAAGAGACGTGAATAATGGCTAATGAAGATTGATCGATGAGTGGAAATAGCCAAAT